GTGGGACAGGAGTCCCTTGTGTTTCTCCTTTTCTAGCAAAGCAATAAAACTTCTTTTCCCTTTTTCTCAAAACTACATAAATAATTTTAAAAATAGAAAACATTCATGTGTGTAGAAATGCTTCACAGTTTTTGATGTATCTTCATGATCTCATTTGATCCTCTTTTCAGTCCATTGTGGTAAGTAGATGAGATAGTGGGGTTCAGTTTATGTGACAGAGAAAGTAATAAAGGCTGAATTGGAATCTAATTTTCCTGTCTCACTACTTTTGCCCCCTAGTGCTTTGGATCAAACCCATTGCCTCTCCAAGCACTCTACTATTGAGCTACATCCCCAGCCCACTTTGACTTTTTATTCACTTTTCTTTCCAGTTGCCTTCGTCCCTATAAACCACTAAAAAAGCATTGGTCTGGGGACTGGAGTTGTAGCTCAGTGGTAGAGCAGAACTTGCCTCGCATGTTTGACACATTGGGTTCCATCCTCAGCACCACATAAAAATAACAAATTAATTAAAGTATTCTGTCCATTTACAACTAAAAACACTTTTTTAAAGTATTGTTTCTTAGAAATAAGGATAAATCAATGTAAGGCTGTGCCACCTCCATCCTACCCTTTCACCTTTACCCACACAAAATAGACACAATGCTTTCTGCAGGGCCCTGCTATAAGCTTGTATCCTTCTGCAGAGCCTCTATCTTCTCATCACCCTGGGGTTCATAAATTATGATGACCTTATAAATTCTATATGATTCGAAGAAAAACCAAGTAAAGAAGAAAGGCATGGTCTAATAGTTTACAGAGTCCACGGAAGAGCGGCTCCTTTAGTGGGTGGATTTTACATTGAAATTAGAAAATTATGAGGCCAATAATGAAAGCCTCCAAAGAGATTTTTACTAATAAGGCAGGCCAGGCCTCAGCAATCTGCCCATGTAGGTTTTTACTTCTCTACCAACTGCTCCCTAGCCCACCCAGAATTTCTGAAACAAGCTGCATTAAACCCTACTAAGACAGGATCAGTTTTTTCCAGGTTAACTTACTAGGCCTAAGTTTCATTCTGTCTCCCGGGGTTCTTTCTGAATTGCATTCTCATGAAACTTTGCCCATGGAATATCCCCAGTGTAACCACATCTCTTCTATTCCCTTCTAACCTCAGTGTCAACACCAATTCCATTTCCAAAGACTAAGAAGAAATACAGGGAGACCAGACCACAAAACTTGTGGCCACTGGGATGAGTTGGAACCCACAATGTTGCCTTGGCTGAAAGCAAAAGGATAAGATGGGGAAGGCAGCGCTGGGATTCCCTGGGTCTTTGAAATATCTCACTGCAACGTGCCTTACCTCTGCCTCCCAAGGACAGGGAAGACGCTCTGCTCTGGCTCCCCTTAGTGAGACTGATTGAGGGCAGAGTCACTTGAACTGTAAGTATAAGGAAACAATTTTCTTCTCTTCTGCTGCAAGACTCTATTTCCTTCTCTGTTTAAGTTTCAAATGACATGGGCTGCAAGGGACCCTCTCTCCAAAACAAAGGTTACCCTTTACTTGGGTTTCTTTCTTTTTTTTTTTAAATCTGCTCTCCTGGTCTGCTCACTGCTGCTTTTCAACTTATGAAACCTTTCTTCTTTTCACAGTGGGTCTGTAAGAATCTTCCTGCCTATGAAATGGAATGAAATTTGAAATGATATTTGTAGGCATGCTGGTTGTTTTCTTATTCTTGTGTTTGAAATTTCAAACAAGTAACAGCAAACCTCTGCTGCAAGATGAAAAACAAAGTTCCTTGCCTCCACTCCTTGGTGGAAAGTATACCAAGTTCAGCTGGCAATTTTAATTTGCTTCCAGAATGAGTAAAGAACTTCTTAGTCATCAGTCATTTCTTGGAAACTTAAACAGATCTATTTGATTCACTTTTGAAGGTCAAAGTAGTTAAGAGGGGGTTAGCATAAAGAAAGCAACTGATCTTCTGCTAACCAGTGCTTCTAATTTCTTTTTACCCTGCTTTTTCCATTTCCTCACAGTAAAAAAGTAATTTTTTTTTTAAAAAAATAAGTTATTTTAAGAAAGAAGTAGTCCTAAATAGCAATCCTGACCCAGAGTCACACTCTAATGTTTCTTTAGATGTTTTCAGAAAGTGTTTGTAGAGTCCGATTTGTAATGGCTCTTACAAAACAGAATTTAGCTTTGGGGGATCCATCTGCAGGTGCAGCACTGGTTCGTTTCATATTCATTGGAACCCAAATTCCATTTATTACAGACTTTCCTTTTCCGTTCTAAGTGTTCAATTTGAATTGAGTAGATCCTCGTTTTGACAAATATTAATGCCCATTAGGGGAAAGCTTGAGCTAATGTCCTCAATTGTGGGTAAGTTTGCTCTGCTTCAGCAACATTAGACATTAGTTCTGCTGTTTCCTTTGGATAGGCTCTAGGAGATGAAATGGATGGCATGTTGGAGCCACTTTTGGTTTTCTTTGGTTATTTGGGGGGCTTAATAAGATCAAGAGATCTTGAGCCCCTCCAAAAAGCACTTTCACAGGTGTGTGTCTTGAAGACTTTTCTGCTTTCTCCAAACAGAACCTATTCAAACATATCCTGAAGGTTTGCTCAGCTGAATTTCCTCGGTTCTGACTTGATCCTTTCCAGCAGAAAATTTCACCTGACATCAAAAGTGTCTTTCTTCCTTCTATTGTAAAGTTTTTGAAAGCTATAGCAGACCAGTGGCTTACCTTCAGCCATGCTTAATGGATGCCAAATGAATTCAAATAAAAAGAACTCAGAAAATCAAAAGACAGTATGATTACTGGGGCAAAGAAGAGGTAGAGAAGTGGTTTCTAAAGAGCAAAAATAAAATCAATATAGCACCCCAAAGGTCTTTGTGGAGTAATGATAGATAAAGCAGGCTGACGTGAACGATGACAAGGAGATTTAAAGCAATTGCTTTAGCAGCTCTTACCAGCACTGTATTCCCTGTATAGTAACAGTGGGTATCTGGGAAGCCTGGACTCCTGTTCCAGTGGAATAGGGAGACAGATTCCATATTGACAAACAGCAGCCTGGATGACTCTTGTGTTGTTTTAGTTCTGCTTCTGACTGACGAGTGATAAGTTGGGGTCCCTACAGCCCCCTTTAGCAATTAATTTGCTAGAGAAATTCACAAAACTTGGGGAAACACTTGTGTTTACCAAGTTATTAGAAATTATATCACAAAGGATAATGATGAACGACAGTGAACAAGGACACAGGGCAAGGTTTGGGCAAGGAGGCACACAGCTTCCATGAGCGCCTCTGGTGCACCATCCTCCAAGAACCTCCATGTGATCAGCTGTCCCAACATTCTCTGAACTTTGCCTTTTGGGATTTTATGAAGGCTTCATTACAAAGCCATGATTGATTAAATCATTGACCAGCATAACCATCAGTCATTTTACTCTCCCTGGAGGCTGGGGGTGGAGCTCAGAATTCTAACCCTTTAATTTTTCCTTAGTCCTTCCCCTAACCAGTCCCCATCCTGAAGCTACATTGGGGCTGCCAAGCATCAGTCAACTCATTCACATACAGAGAGATATTTACCACTTTGCAGATTCCAGAACTTTAAGATTTCTATGCTAGAAAATAGGAAGACCAAATATATGTTTTATAATATCATACTATCCATTAGAATATTATTCAATTCAGCATCTGTTAGGCAAATCAGTCTGTGTGAGTAGATGCAGACCAAGAGATCAAATATGAAGCCGGTTGTGGTGGCACATGCCTATAATCCCAGCAATTCAGGAGGCTGAGGCAGGAGGATCTCAAGTTCCAGGTCAGCCTCAGCAAATTAGGGAGGCCCTAAGCAAATTAGTGAGACCTCATCTCAAAATAAAAAATAAATTAATTAAAAGGGCTGCGGATGTGGCTCAGTAGTAAAGTGCCCCTGGGTTCAATTCCCAGTATCACCACTCAAATAAATAAATAAAGAGATCAAATAATTTTGGTATCGTTAAAGAAAAAATCATTCTGATGCTTATTTAAATGGTAAAACCAACCTTTTACAATAGTGCTACTGCAATCGAGGAGAGAAATTTTGCTGACAAAGACAACTGGGAATTTCTATCCAAAGAGCACAGTGAGGGAGACAATAAATGAAAAATTGCTGAGACATCAAGGATGGGGGATTCGTGCTAAACCCATCTCACTGAAGTGAGGTCAAAGGCATATACATCAAAGGAGGGGATGAGGAACTTGATTGTATGTCGAGAATGGGGGTTTTTGCTAAACTGACTTAGCAGGATTCTTGCTAAATCTGGGCTAGATAGGCCAAAGATAGGACTGGAGATCTGCATCAAGGCCTAGTTAAGAAAAGGGTTCAGAAGAACCTAACTACAGTTTGGTCAAGGAGAGTCTTTTTCGGTATCCACAGCTTTCTCCTCTTCCCCCCATTTTGTCCCATCTTGCTGCCCCTACCCTACCAACCACAAAAGAGAGGTCTGCACTTCCTTCAAGCAGCCCCTTCCCTTATACATCCCAGACTCTCCACTTACTGAAAAATGAGAAGGCCAGACCCTCGCAACTCCAGATTCAGCATCTCATCTAGCAGATGTGTCTCTGATTCCCAGTTCACTCCCTGATGAGTCAGGGCTTCTCTGCTTTGGGAAACTTGCTCCCCAGATGTGGAAGGCCATCCCTGACAGCCCCACTGGCAGTATTTGCAGTCCCCACCCCTGGGGGAAACTTGTCAATAAAGGAGGAAGAGCTAGTCTTTAAGCAAACACATTCCCTTCCCTTTTCTGGAACATCTTTAGTCACCTGACAGTTGACAACTTTCACTGTGTGTACAGAACTGAAGGAACTCTAAAGCACTTCAACACACACACACACACACACACACACACACACACAGTCACCTAAAATTTCTTTCATAGCAAGTTGGACTGAGCCAGGACAGCCAACGAGAGAACTTGTTTTTCTTTTCTTTTACTTCAGGAAAAGTATCAACTTTCTTGTGTGACTCTGGAGTTGTGCAAACCTGGGATTGACGCCTCTGTTTGACACTCACTAGCTCTGGGACCTTGAACAGTGGGTTTAAGTTTCCTCAGCTGTGGTAAGTATCTTGTTAAGAGGATTAGACGTCCATACTATGTCTAGAGCAGAGCCTGCCATATAGCAGTTATTTCAATAAGTGGAAGCTTTTACGATTTTTGTCACTAGATATTTGAGTTGTCTTTCAATAGAAAAAACAATACAGGGGCGGGGATTGTGGATCCGTGGCAGAGCACTTGCCTAGCATGTGTGAGGCACTGGATTAGATTCTCAGCACCACATAAAAATAAATAAAGGTCCATCAACAACTAATAAATTAAAAAAAAAAGAAAAAGGAATACAGTGGAAAAGATTGTAGTCTGGACTTTCAATGCTATACCACCATTCTCTGAACCTTACCCTTTTGGGATTTTATGGAGGCGGGATTACAAAGGCATGGTTGATTAAATCATTGACCAACTTAACTGCCAGTCACTTTCCCCTCCCTGGAGGCTGGGGGTGGGTGGAGCTGAAAGAAACTTATTCCCCTACCTATTCTGGACCTCAGTTTCCACATCTGTAGAACCAGAGTAGATTGACCAAACCAGTATTTCTTACACAACATAATACCAGGAGTTATTAAAAATATGTCTCCCGGGTTGGGATGCAGCTCAAGGGTGAAGCATGCATGCATGAGGCCCTAGGTTTTATCCCCAGCACTGAAAAAAAAAAAAAAAAAGTTTCCCAGGCTCCATCACTGGAGATTCAGATTCAGAGAGCTAGGGCAGACTTTGGGGGCTATGTTTTGTAAAACCCCCACAAAAAAAAGAAAGAAAGAAAGATCTGTGCATTTTACTGTATATGTCTCAACAAATTGCTGTTAGCGTGGAGAGTAAAAAGCTTCCCTGGCAACTCTTAAAGCACAGTCAAGTGTCAGTATCCTGGACAGGAGGATCCCTAGATTCTCCTCCAGTTCCAACATTTTGTTTTTTGTAGCCCCTGCACAGCCCCCTTGCCACTTTTATCCACAAGTGTGATCTTTTACCTTTCTTGGTCATAGTCGTGAACAAAGATATTAAGGAGAGGATGGGGCGGTGGCTCAGTGGTAGAGCACTTGTCTAGCATGTGTGAGGCTCTGGGTTTGATCCTCAGTACCATATATAAATAAATGATAGATAGATATCCATTGACAACTAAAATATATGTATATTTAAAAAAAGATATTAAGGAGAGTTAGAATCCTAAACCTATCACAGCACTTAGATAAGGAACACTGATACAGGACTTTCAGGCCTCAGCAGGACAGCACAGAGGCTAAGGACAATACATTTACCATCTGGTAACCTGTCTCGTTGGTCAAAGGGATCAGCAAATTAGGATTGTCTGTTGTTGGTTCTTTAGTGTCTGCTTTATGCTGGGCATTGCTGGTGTTGACAGCAGCAAAATGAATGTGAGAGCAAGACACCTGTCTTTGTGGAATTTAGACTCTACAAGGGAGAGAAAACCAACAGGAAGATAGAGATAATTATGAAGTATGGTAGGTGCTGTGAAAGAAACAGGATGGATAGGATAGAGCAGGAAGGACACTGAGAGGGATCAAAGAAAGAGGTGATATTTGTGCCAAAGTCTGACAAAGATCCATTCAAGTGAAAAGCTGAGAAAGTCACAGCCAGAGAAAGAATATTTAGGGCCAAGGGAATGACAAGTGTAAAGGCCTCAAAGTGGGGAAGATTCTACAAACAGGAGCACAATATGTCTAGAATGTAGTGCTTTAGAAAGAGCCTATCAGGTGAAGTCAGAGAAGATAGCAAGACCCTGTATAGGAAATTTTAATTTTATTTCAAGAATAATAGGTAGTTTTAAGGGTTTTAAGCAGGAAGTAATGTGATTTGGATTGTTTCAGGAGAAACAAAAAGCAAAACCAAACTCCATGGGGAGTGGATGGAACAGGACAGAATGGAGACAAGGATGTGAATTAAGTGACCCATTTGTCCAGGAAATAGGGTTTGTCAGATGGGCCTATGGTAACTGTAAGTTTTTGTTTAGTGGCTCAGCAGGGACTTTGAACCTCTGGGACTGGGCTAACCAAAGACAGAGAGGGAGAACTAACAACCTCAGATGTTGATGAATTCATCATGCTCAGTTGGCCTTGTCTTTCTAATGTTTCCCCACCAGTCATGGCTGAGGATGATCAAAAGATCCTTCAGAATGGCTCGGTTCCTGAAGTGCCTTTCTCACTCACTAGGAGGCAGTCTTGAGAAGTGAGCCTAATTTATGACTGGGGTGTCTCCAGGCCCCTTTCATCAGTTCCTTCTTTCCTTTTGTGTCCTCTCCCCAGCCTCAGAATCTGCACTTCTGACACCATGCCCCGAAGCTCTCTGGGCCATTCTTTCTTTCCTTCTTCCCTCTTTTCCTCTTTAGAACTCTATGCTTAGAAAGGAAAATAGAAAACCAATTGCTACCAAATTAACCATGTATGGGATCATTTGCACTATTACAATAGTAGCCCATGGGACATGTTGTGGAACATGGCTTATTAAAGGGAAGATAGTTTGAAATAGAATATGTCTTTTTTTAATCTTTATTTATTATTTTTTTAGTCATACATGACAATAGAATGCATTTTGATATATAATACATACATGGAATGTACGTACATCAATCATATTGTCTATTCTATTCTGCTGCCCTTCCTATCTTCCCTACTCCTCCCCTCCTCTCCCATCCTTTCTCTCTATCCAATCTAATGTGACACAATTTTTTTTTCTTTTTCTCATCACAACATCATATATGTATTCTGTATAACAATGAGGTTCTCCTCCCATCTTCTGTGCAACTCCCCTTCTCCCTCTTTTTCCCTACCACCTCTCTTCCCTATTTAGTGGTAGTCTTCTTCTCATGCTCTTCCTCCCTATCCCATTTTGAGTCACCACCCTTATATCAGAGAAGACATTCAGCATTTGTTTTTTAGGGATTGGCTAACTTCACTTAGCATAATCTGCTCTAATGCCATCCATTTGCCTGCAAATGCCATGATTTTATTATTTTTTAGTGCTGAGTAATATTCCATTGTGTATAAATGCCACATTTTTTTAATCCATTCATCCATTGAAGGGCATCTAGGTTGGTTCCACAGTCTAGCTATTGTGAATTGTGCTGCTATAAACATTGATGTGGCTGTGTCCCTGTAGTATGCTCTTCTTAGGTCTTTTGGGTATAGTCCGAGAAGGGGAATAGCTGGGTCAAATGGTGGTTCCATTCCCAGCTTTCCAAGGAATCTCCATATTGCTTTCCAAATTGGCTGCACCAATTTGCAGTCCCACCAGCAATGTATGAGTGTACCTTTTCCCCCCTGCATCCTTGCCAGCACTTGTTGTTTGACTTCATAATGGCTGCCATTCTTATTGGAGTGAGATGGTATCTTAGAGTAGTTTTAATTAGAATTTTTCTGATTGCTAGAGATGGTGACCATTTTTTCATGCATTTGTTGATTGATTGTATATCCTCCTCTGAGAAGTTTCTGTTCAAGTCCTTGGCCCATTTGTTGATTGGGTTATTTGCTTTTTTGTTGTTTAACTTTTTTAGTTCTTTGTGTACTCTAGAGATTAGAGCTCTATCTGATGTTTGAGGGGTAAAAATTTGTTCCCAGGATGTAGGCTCCCTATTCACTTAGCATATTATTTCTCTTGCTGAGAAAAAAACTTTTTAGTTTGAATTCATCCCATTTGTTGATTCTTGGTTTTAACTATTGTGCTATGGGTGTCCTATTAAGAAATTTGGGGCCTGCCCCCACGTGATGAAGATTAGGACCAACTTTATCTTCTATTAGACACAGAGTCTCTGGTCTGATTCCTAGCTCCTTGATCCATTTTGAGTTGACTTTTGTGCATGGTGAGAGAAAGGGATTCAATTTCATTCTGTTGCATATGGATTTCCAGTTCTCCCAGCACCATTTGTTGAAGATGCTATCCTTTCTCCATTGCATTTTCTCCATTAGCGCCTTTGTCTAATATAAGGTAGTTGTAATTTTGTGGATTTGTCTCTGTGACCTCTATTTTGTACCATTGGTCTACCAGCCTGTTTTGGTGCCAGTACCATGCTATTTTTGTTACTATTGCTCTATGGTATAGTTTAAAATCTGAAATCACGATACCACCAATTTCACTCTTCCTGCTTAGAATTACTTTAGCTATTCTGGGTCTCTTGTTTTTCCAGATGAATTTCATGATTGCTTTTTCTATTTCTGCAAGGAATGTCATTGGGATTTTGATGGGAATTGCATTGAGTTGAAACAGAATATGTCTTTAATCCTATTTTGTAAGTAGTTCCTACTTTGCCTTCTCATAGAACTCAGACCATCAGAGACAGGTTGTCTGAAGGAAGACATTAATTAGAGGCATTAATGATCTTGAACTTCTGTTACTGAATCACAAGGTAGAAGGACTTGGAACAACATAGAATTGGCTTTCCATAGGAACCTCAATAAATGAAAATCCAGGGCATTTATTCCTGTCCTTTGTAGCACCGGGGTGGACTCCCTCTTGTTTGGCAATAGACAAGAGTCCAGAGGTAGGTTGAAGGACAGTAGACCAGGAGAAGGCAAAACTTAATCAGGATCTTAAAGGAAGGCAAGATTTGGAGAGGGAGATGGAGAATGGGCATGATATTCTCAACAAGGTAAAAAGATCCTCATTTGTAAATTGGAAGCTACAAGTCCAGGCCTTTTTCTCTTACTGATTCTCCTCCCTCCATTGCAGAGAGCCTTGCTGGGGCGTCAGGCATGTCTATCAACAGCTGAATCTAACTAATACTGATCGAATTTTGTTTTCCATCCCTCATTTCTTTCCCCACCTGGGCAAGTTGGAGCCTATTTTGGAGTGAACACCGCTGATTCACAAACCCTCATCTTCCAGCACCACATATAAATAAATACTTTACTCTGGCAAAAAGAAAAAAAAAGAAAGTCATCTTGTTCAAAAAGAATCAGAACTTCCATGGTGGCTTGGCTATAAATAATTGCCTTATTCTTGGAAAATAGAAAGACCTCAGAGCCCTGAAACCCTAATCAACATTTCAAAGGGC